ATTGGATGTGATGTTCATAAAGTGGCAAATACTTTGGGGGCTTCCTAATGTGAACTAGAAGGTGAGGGGATCCCACAAAAATTCAGGGGCCCGTGACTTCATTGAGGTTTAATTTTTTTTAATGTTTGTTTATTTTTGAGAGAGAGAGAATGAGAGGGAGAGAGGGGGGAGATGCAGAATCTGAAGCAGTTTCCAGGCTCTGAGGTGTCAGCACCAAGCCTGACATGGGGCTCCAACCCACAAATGCTGAGATCATGACCTGAGCTAAAGTCAGACGCTCAACTTACTGAACTATCCAGGTGCCCCAAAGTTTCCTGAGTTTAAATGTCACTTTTCCAAACTGAAAGTAAAGTTGCCGTTCTTCAGACCACCTACAATGAAAAAAGAGGAAAAATGCTTGGTGAGCGTTTTTGTATTTGGGGAGGAATATAGACAATGTTTGAATGTGCTGGTTGGATCAACTAAAGAATCAACTATAAGGCTATCAGTTTTAAATAGAGACGAGCAAAAGGATGCCCTGTCGCAAGCTCAGGCTGTAGTATAAGCCACCATATCCCTTGGGCCTTTTTACCCATCAGGTTCTATGATAGTTAAAGTGTCTGTGGCAAGCAGGCATGCCATAAGGAGCCTCTGGGTGAACACCAACAGGGTAGTCACAGCACTAAGCTCTAGGATTTTGGAGCAAATTGATTCCTTGTGTGGGGTATGACTATTTTTCTTTTGAAAAATAGCTTCTATCTTGCTATCAGGCCTTGGTAGAGAATTGGTGACCATGGTGTATTGAGTGACCATGTGACCTGAGCTTCCCATCATGAACTAGGTATGGTCTGACCCACCAGCAATAAATTGTGTGTGTGTGCAGCAGTTATTTATGGTCAAATGGGAATGGTTTGTAAAAGACTGAACAGGGAAGTTCCGGAAGATACAAGTAAGTTGCATAACAAGTGGTTTAGATTCCTTTTCTTTTTTTTAAAAGTTTATTTATTTAAAAAATTTAATGTTTATTTATTTTTGAGAGAGAGAGACAGAGAGAGAGTGACAGACAATGAGTGGGGGAAGGGCAGAGAGAGAAGGAAGCACAGAATTCAAAGCAGGCTCCAAGCTCTAGGCTATCAATACAGAGCCCAACATGGGGCTCGAACTCATGAACCCCGAGATCATGACCTGAGCCAAAGTCTGACACTTAACCAGCTGACCCACCCAGGTGCCCCTGATTTAGTTATTTTGAGAGAGAGAGAGAGCAAGCGAGCACATAGGAGAAGGGCAGAGAGAGAGAGTGAGAGAGAGAATCCCAAGCAAGCTGACAACTCAGAGCCTGCAGCCTGCTTCTGATTCTGTGTCTCCCTCTCTCTATGCCCCTCCCCTGCTTATGCTCTCTCTGTCTCTCAAAAATAAACATTAAAAAATATATGTGTAAGGATATAAATATTTACATATACTTAGGCTATAGATATGTGTGTGTGTCTATCTATGCGCATATACATTAAAGGAGATGAATTGGCTCACAGGATTGTGGAGGCCGAACAGTCCCCATGATCTGCCACCTGCAAGCTGGACCCCTAGCAAAGCCGGGGGTGTGATTCAGTCTGAGTCCAATGGCCTGAGAACCGGATGACCTAATGGTATAAATGGAAATGCCTTATTCACTTTTGAGCCCGATCCTTCATTGATAGAATTTTTGCTTCCCCTCCTGGCTATCTTGAACTCTGCTTGTGCAGAACTCTTAGTCCCCAAAGAGAAGCTGCTTACCAGAGGACACACTCATGGCTCCAGGTAACGAAACCATCAGTGAGGCACTCTGCCAAACCTGACAAAGAAGAGAGAAGCATGACTGATGTTCCTGTGAAGAGTCCAGGAGAAAGACAATCTCTCAAAGGTGCTTGTTTCTGGAAAATACATTCTAGGTAGAATTGGAAAAGATTTGATTCTGTCAGGTTTATACAAGAAGAGAGAAATCAGCCATGCATACTGACTTTTTTTATTTGCTTCCCTAAATGGAAAGAAAAGTAAGGGTTTTAAGATCTGTTGAAGTGGACAAATCTTTTCCAGGCCTTGGAGATGCTTAAAGAAGCAACTGAAAAACTTTCTAACCATCTGGTCTGTATAAATTGCAGCATACGACTAACACAGAGCAGGGTGGCCGGTTAATACCCATTTCATGTTAGTCCAATTACGTACTGATTTAGTCATCACTGGTGATTATGCTAAGGTTATTACTATGTATATATTCACTTCTAGGTGAACGGCCCACTTATACCTTTAAAACTTGGCCTATTTTGTCCATATTCTCATATTGTAGTTAAACGTATATCTTCTGGAGTCTGACGCTGGGGTTTGAATCTTGGCTCAGTCACTGCCTAGCTCTGTGATCGTGGCTAAGTCAATTAACCTCTCTGTGCCTAAGTTTCTTCATCTACAAAATGAGGATGATAGTAGTATCTACTTATGAGTGTTGTTTGCAGAGTTAATTAACACATTCAAAGTATTTACAACAGCGCTTGGTCCACAGTAAGCAATGAATACATGTTAGCAATTACTAATATTGTAATTTGGCAACACTTACTCTAAGTTGGCTTCCCAGGAATATAAGCCATTGTATATCCTCTCTCTTTCTCTAGCAAACCTGCAGAATATCTGCTAAATAGCTGTTATGGACTGAATAGTGTCTCCTTCCTTCTCCTCCCAAATTCACATATTGAAACGCTAACCCACAAGGAGACTGTATTTGGAGGTAAAGACTTTAAAGAAGTAATTAAGATTAATGGGGTCACAAGAGTGGGGCCCTATTCGGATAGGATTGGTGTCCTTATATGAGGAGGAAGAGACATCAGATCCCTCTCTCTGTCTCTCTCCATGCACAAAAGGAGAGGCCATGTGAAGAAACAGAGGGGAGGCAGCCATCTACAAGCATGGAAGAGAGACCACATCAGAAACCAACCCTGATGATGTCTTGATTTTGGACTTGTGGCCTCTAGAACTGTAACAAAAGAACTATCTGTTGTTTAAGCCACCAATTGGTATAATTTGCCATGGCAGCCCTAGCAGACAGGAGACCATGACATTATCAAATTTCCTAATTTAGATATTCAGTGAAAGACAAGAAGCAGTGCTGATATAGTGTCTGAGGTCATCCTTGAATACCATTTACCCATTGTGTGAAAGTCTGGTATCTATCAGCGGGGGAGGGGTGTGGGTGTCATATACCATGAGGGCTACTGTTGAGCTGATTCGCTCTAATGATAACTTTTTTTTCTACAAAATTCATCGAGGCTGACTACTAGATATACAGCTATTAGTTATCTGTGAGCCTCACTCGTTTATTTTTTTAAAGATTTTTTTAATGTTTATTTATTTTTGAGAGAGAGTGTGAGTGCGCAAGTGTGCACACACAAGTGGGGGGAGGGGCAGAGAGAAAGAGAGAATCTGAAGCCAGCTCCAGGCTCGGAGTTGTCAGCACAGAGCCCGATGCAGGGCTTGAACCCAAAAGCAACAGGACTATGACCTGAGCCGAAGTCGGATGCCTAACTGACTGAGCCACTCGGGTGCCCCTGAGCCTCACTCTTATATCTGTCTGTTTTTAGGCCCCTCACAGAGGATTTGGTAACAATAAGAATTTGGTTGACTGAGTCACTGATCAGATTCTGGGCTAGTGTGACGGAATGTTAGCTTTAGTCTCCCACTCTGTCACCAGCTGGCCAGGGCTGCCTGGAGTCCTGGTCATTCCATTTCTGGAGATGTCCAGAGCCCTCCCTTGGAGGGGAGCCTTCCCCGTCTTGGTGTTGCGGAGACTGCCTTTCTCATGGCCTCTGCCTCCCAGTCCCTGTCCCGCAGGGGAGGGACCTGCATCATGCACCAGAGAGTTCCCTTCTAAGACTGTGGCTGGTGAGTGGCAAGCAATCACGAATTAAACTGCCCTTGCTGAGGATTTAGGGGTCACAGGAAGATTTGGGAGCCATGGAGGGGTGAGGCCCAGACTTGAAACCTTCTCTCCTGCTGCTTTATCCTCTCTTCTCCTGATCTTTCCTTCATGAATTCCCTACAAATTTTCCCTTCAGTGCATAAAAAATGTAGCTGGGTTCCAAGGCTCAGACTTGCAGAAATAAGATGCTTATGGAACAGATTCTTCCATTTTAAGGCAGTTCTGCTAATAAATTTATTATAAATATATCATGCATATAATATGTATGATATACGTACCGCGGGATGCATAGTACATGCATGATTATATGTATGATGCAATACAAATATAAAAATAGTATAAATATATTTATAAGTAACCATTCTCTTTTTTCTTCTTACTACACTGGGAACACTTCATGGTAATTCATAGTTAAAAGGAGCTGCTGAGTATAGAGAGAAGGAGACTGGATCTCCCTAAGACTCACACACCGACACATGGACGTGGGAAAAGCTGGGTGTAATTGACTTAATTTATTTCTCAGGTGTAGGGTGTTCAGAATCTGTAAGTAGGAATTATGTAGATCATGCAGCTTTAGGAAAATAAGGATAAAGTGGCTTTTCAAATCTTTTATGAAGCTTTTCCTAAGATTATCATTAAGCAATAAGCAATACGAGAGAGAGCCAGCGAGAGAGACCGGACAAAGTTTATTGGCCTGCGCTGTTTCCTAATTCACCTCTGCGAAGCAAAAGTCAGATTTGATCTCGACACGTTTTGACTCTAAAAGAACTATACAGAAAATGTCAACACGTATACAAAGTGCTCACACAAGGGAACCGCGATTAGTGGTTTGGAACAGGCTTTCCGCCTGGAGAGCTCCGACCCAGCGCATCCGTGGCCCCGAACTCCCCCAGCGCCGCGCGGGGCCCCGCGGGGATGCACGCAACTCGCGAGCGGCCCTGGCCCGCCGCCCACCTCCGCCCCGGCCGCCTCCCCGTCCTCTCCCGCCGCAGCCCACGCCCCGTCGCGGGGGGCGGGGGCGCCCCGAGACCCTTTAAAGCGTCGCGGACGGGGCCCGGGTGCAGCGAGCCCGGGGGCGGACAGTAGCGGCGCGCCCGGCTTACCGCGCTGGGCTGCCCTTGGCGGGCCGGCGGGGGCGGCGCTGTTGGCCCGGGGCGGGCGCTCCCGGCTCCCCGACGCCTGCTGCGCCCGGCGGCCGCGCGCCCTCGCTCTGCTTCGCGGGTCCCGGGAGTCCCCGCCATGCGCCCTGGCTAGTGCGCCCGGGGCGCAGCGCCGCCCCCGGCCGCGCCCGCCGCCCGCTCCCGCCGCCGGCATGCTGCGCCCGCTGCTGCTCGCCGCGCTCTGCGTGGCCGGCCGGCTCGCGGCCGCCCGCGGCTGCCAGCTGCCCTCGGAGTGGAGACCCCTGAGCGAGGGCTGCCGCGCCGAGCTGGCCGAGATCATCGTGTACGCCAAGGTGCTGGCGCTGCACCAGGAGGTGCACGGCCTCTACAACTACCTGCCGTGGCAGTACGAGCCCAGCGACGCGGGGCTCTTCTACTCGGCGGAGATCGAGATGCTGTGCGACCAGGCGTGGGGCAGCATGCTGGAGGTGCCCGCGGGCTCCAGACTCAACCTCACCGGCCTGGGCTACTTCTCGTGTCACTCCCACACCGTGGTCCAGGGCTACTCCTACTTCTTCTTCCTCAGGTGAGCGTGACCGGGATCCCGAGGGCCCCGTTATCTGGAGCGAGGTCGGGAACTCCAGGCAAGCCTGTTCAGGTCCTATTAGATAGAGTACGCTTTGGGCTCCTTTCCATACTCCATTGTCTCCTGCTCTGTCCGACTCTGGGCCTGGGTGGCTTTGGCTAAGGCCGTTGAAAAAACAGGGGTGGTTTCAGGGCGTAAGGCACCGAGGAGTGTTTCAGGTAAAAGCTCAGGGTGGTTTCCAGCAATCAATTGGACTCATCTTTTTTTTTTTAATTTTAATTTTTTAATTGGATTCACTGGGAGCAGGTTGAGGTGCTGAAGAGGGGAAAAAACCAAACTTTGAAATCAGACCGTTGGAATTCTGGCTCTGCTCTCTCTGTGATTTTCCAGCAAGTTACCTTCTGAAGAAACTCTGTACCTTCGCTTTCCTAATGTGAGAAACCAGGTTGGTGGAGACTAACACACAGCAATTATGCAGAACACCTGGTACAGGTTGGATGCGAACACAGAGTCAACCTCTTCCATCCCACCCGGCTTAAGTGCCAGGACAGGAATGGTGTGGAACGCAGCCCAGCTGACCCTTTGTTTCCCCTCCTTGCCCACCACCAGCCAACCTCAGTGCTGGGCTTTTCAGAATAGCTGAGGCTTATGTGGGGGCCTGCTGGGGGATGGGGTTAAGATGGGCTCCTATTGCTTTGAAGAGAATAAGTGAATCAGGATGGAGGTCCCCCTCTGCCTGGAGACTCCTGGAATCTTGTGAAGTTCCATGAACGTTGACTTGTAGTCAAGATGGAATGCACGTGTGTAAGAATTCCGTCAATGGGCTTGGAGTTTGAAATGGAGAATGGCAGGTGCAAGCCTAAATGCATTGGCTGTCTCCAATTGAATGAGAGTGACATAGAGCAGCTGAGAGGAATATGGAACTGGAATCTAACCTACCTAGCAAGCTAGCGAGTGAATTCATCCACAATGGACACTGGTGATGGTTCCAGTCTTCCCAGTCCATAAAGAAGCAGTCGGAACGTTTGGAATGACCATGACCGCAGCCTGCAGATCATTTTTAGCTCTAGGGATTTCTCATCACTCTGGAAAGAAAACCTTAAGATCCACCGAGGGGCGTTCCTGAGCTCATGGCAACACATGTTTTCTGTATTGAAGCCAGAATCTCTAAGTTTAGAATACATGACGTGCTTTGTGTCGGTGGCCGTGGTTTAGCTAGATTAAGTTGTTTTTCTTTTTTTAATTTCTGGGGAAGTATAGTTTCTAAATAAAGTCAGTAAGGAGTGAGACCGTATTCTTCTTGATACAAAGAAGCGTAACTCAGATTTTTCATGTTTTTCTTTAGGAAGGACACTGAGAACCCAGCTATGAAGCTATTAATCACTGAAACTTTATTTTCCAAGGAAATAGGAGCTGGAGAACTTGAGCAGACATTATTTATTTTCTGATTTTATCATGAAAGAGTTTTGTCCAGTGGCTCTGTGGTGATCAGCCAGCTCTTTCTTCTTTCCCTTTGACATATTTACAAAAAGTTGGGGCAGAAATACGGAGTCAACTGGTAGTCTGACAGATTTCCATTTCACAGGGCTGTGTTGCCCCGAAGTGTCTTAACAACTGCATACAAATCATTCCTCCCCTGTTATTCTAGGACCCAGTGAGGCGCGAACAGATTCTGGGCAGTGTCACTGGGGAAAGCAGCAGTGGGGCCTGCTGGTCAACCCTACACCACCTTTTTGTGCTGGAGGTTAACTTCTACCTTTCCTGTCTCTAACGTGACTTCTTTATCTTTGCAACAGGCAATTTGTACTTTGCTCCGTAAAAATGTTAACATCTGTACTGCACTCCATGCCAGATACTTGACTTTTTCTTTGTTGGTTTTTTTTTTGTTTATTTTAAACTTTAAGAAAAATGTTCATTTTAGGGAGAGTGAGAGAGTGTGAGCAGGGGAGGGGCAGAGAGAGGAGACACAGAATCTGAAGCAGGCTCCAGGCTCTGAGCTGTCAGCACAGAGCCTAATGCGGGGCTGGAACTCACAAACTGCGAGATCATGACCTGACCCAAAATTGGATTCCTAACCGACTGAGACACCCAGGCGCCCCTTTACTTTTTCTAATGCAGTTCTTTCACCACCACCAAGAAGGTGCTATTCTCCTCCTCTTGTTACAGACTGGCACAGTGAAGCTTAGAGAATTTGCAAAATTCCTATCTCCTGGCAGAAGACAAGTAGCAGTGGCAAGATTTGAAACTGGGTCCTTATAACCGGCTTTCCTTTCATCAAGAAACAAGGAACACCTTGTGAGAAAGTCCACTTGGGCTATATACAAATAGACAAACCCATATGCACTCTTCCTCTCCAGCCCTTCACCCAAACTCATCTTTTAGAAAACCTTAAGGCTAGACTCATGTAGTGTGAGGCAGAGAAACCATTAGAAGTAGTGAGTCCTCTAATGAGAGCCATGTGAGGCATGGTTGTATCATGGCCAGACTGTCACAGTCTTTACAACTGTTGATTAAAGCCGGTGTGCCCTATGGCTGTCCAGTCTACAGTTTGGCTTTTTTTCTTCTTTTTTTTTTTTTTTCCCATTAGGATGGATGAAAATTATAACCTATTGCCTCACGGAGTCAATTTCCAGGATGCCATCTTTCCAGACACTCAAGAGAACAGAAGGATGTTTTCCAGTCTTTTCCAGTTTTCGAATTGTTCTCAAGGGCAGCAACTGGCAACTTTTTCCAGTGACTGGGAGATCCAGGAAGACAATAGGGTAAGGCAATTACTTTGCCCTGTGTCACAGCAAAGTAATAGGAGAGCTACATCTTGTCTGAATTTTGTGACCAAATGAGTCAAGAATACTCTTGCAGAAATCCAGACCAAAGAGTATTATCCCTCCCACTCCTCTGGCAGTTACAAAAATACTGCTAATAAACTGTGGGTTCCTGAGCCTTTACTACTTGGTATGGGATTCCTCATAAAGTGAGAGAACAAGATGGAGTGAAGGTGGGCACACTGCCTCTGTTTCCTCTCTTGTAAAATGGAAACCGTCTACATCATAAGACTGATGTAATATGAGGTAGCTATGGAAGAAGAAAAGGAAAAAATGAAAATAGGTAAAGCCCTTAGTATAGTGCCTGACAGAGTATGTACTCAATAGATGAGAGCCATTATGGCTATTATATCATTACTGTTACTGATAACCTTATGTTCTAGGTAATCTTTTAAGGGAGAAGAAAAAGCCCTCAAGGAGATGATTGTTGTAGATAACACCTCTTTGATGGTTAACTCTAGTTGTTAAGACGTAGAGATACAGGGTGGCCATAATGGTTGTGGAATATAAGGGTTAAGATTGCTTTGGGTAAGGGTGCCTGGGTGGCTCAGTTGGGTAAGTGCCCAACTCTTGATTTTGGCTCAGGTCATGATCTCACAGTTTGTGAGACTGAGCCCTGCACTGGGCTCTGCAAAGATGGTGCACAGACTGCTTGGGATTCTCTCTCTCTCTTCTTTTGTCTCTGCCCTTTCCCACACCCCATGTGGTATGCGCGTGTGCTCTCTCTTCTCTCTCTCTCCCTCAAAATAAACTTAAATAATGTGGGGTATGAAAATATAACAGGGATCTGTTCATCTGGGACAGATGCCAGAGTTGGGGGGGGAATTTTTGAAGACTGTTACTTTCCCAAATAGCATTGCCATATTCAAGCTGGGATGATTGTGGAGCTGGCTCATTAGAGGAGGTGGCCAGTCTCCGTCTCCCATCTGAGATGTGTTTACGGTAGTGTGATGGACTGCTGGGAACGTTCTGATGTGGGGTTATTGGTATCCCGTGGGACAAGGACTCCTATTTTTTATGGGTTAATAACCTAATTTGCACATGTTGAGTGGCTCAAGTGGGTCCCCAAATCTAGAAGTATAAAATGATAGTAGTTTTTTTCCCACCTCTGACACCCACCCAGTTGTTTTCCATCTACCCTTCAAACAAGTAGCTACTGTTACTAGTTTCTTATAAATGTTTAATGGGTATTTTCATCCAACAAAGAATTCAGACTTGGATATTTATTGTGTTCTTTTACACAAATGGCAGGCCACTCCATTTACTTTGGTATACCTTGCCTTTATTCACAAATAGATCTTGGGGATCTTTCTATATCAATGCAGATAAAGTTGCCTTAAAGAGCTGTAAGTGTATTCCATTCTATGCATGTGTCACAATAAATTTAATCACAAGCTCTCTGTTAACAGGTAGTTGGATCTGTTTCCAGGACATTGCTATTACAGAGTGCGTACATGTTTGATATTATACATACCTCATTTTGTGGGAGTGCCGAGTCCAATATTTAGCAAATACTATGTACCTACTACAAAGCAGCTACCTTGTTAGATGGTAGACTTTCAACGTTGAGCAAAATACAAAGTCCCTGATCTCCTAAAGCTTGTAATCCTACTGTGGGTGATTGATACAAACAAAAGACCCCATTAATGACTTCATAATTTTAAATGCAAGCACATGTTCCAGAAACAAATTGGGGAATCTGACTGGACTTAGAAGTAAAGGAAGCCTTCTCTGCTGAATTGATACTGGAGCTAAGATCTGGTGGATGAAGTGACCTCCTAGCTAACATTGGGGTCAGGGAGAGACGAGGACCGTCCGAAGAAGGACCGTCTGTGGAAAGACCTTGTGGTAGCAGAGTACATGGTACGTTTGAGGGCATGAAAGAAAGCTCCTGTGTCTGGAGCAATGGGAGTAAGAAGGATGAGGCAAGAGCTTGAGGCAGGGTCAGACTTCGTGAAGATCTGGGCTTTGTTCTAACTGTGAATCAGAAGGCTTTTCTGTTTTGAAAGGAAGGGATGATGGGATCAGATTTACATTTTGGAAAACCAACTGGATTGGAGGAAATCCCAATGATGCGGTGAGAACAGGGAGTGCTTATAAAGCTACCAGATAGTTGCTGGACTAGGGTAGAGTAGGGATGGAGTAAAGGAGGGACCTTTGAGAGTGATTTAGGAAATGAAATTAGGACATATTGCTGATGGTTTGGTGGGAAAGGAGGTGGGGGAGGGTCAAAGATAATTCCTGTGTTTCTGGCATGTAAACTGCCTGCCAGGACCAACCCTGAGAAATGCAGATAGGAAAGGTTTGCCGGGGGAATCCACGTCAGATGTTGGACATAGTGAGTTGAGGTGTTTTTGAGCCATCTAAGTCATTTTTGAGCCAAGTGAGGTCTGGGATGGGTGGTTGGATCTCTAAGTTTGGAGCATTAAGAGGTCTGAGTGGAAGATAGACCTTTGGGACTTAACAATAATTAGATGTCCATTGAGACTGGATGTGAATGAGATTGCCAAGGGAGAGTACACAGGAAGAGCAGAGCATGGGTCTAAGGTGGGATTAAGCCTTGTGGACTGGGAAACCTGGTTGAGAAGGAGCAGTCAGAGAGAAAGGGAAAACTAGGAGAGTCCAGGGTACAGAGTATTTCTAAAAGTATGAGTGATCACTAGAGCCAAAAGGTGTTGAGAAGTCAAGTAAGATGATGACTGAAGACTAACCTCTCTTTGGTGGTCTAACTGAAGACCTAAACTTCCCTAAAAGAGAAGAGTTATGGGGCATGAGTGAGGGTGGACAACTCTTTGATGAAGTTTGCCTGTGGATGGCTTAATATGTATACGGCTACAGGTGACAGGACAGAGTAGTTGAGGGGAGGTGTCTTGTTGTATTTAAAGATGGCAGCCATCCTGTTTACACCACGTGGTCTTTGTTTTCCCACTCTTTTTTTTTTTTAATGTTTTTTATTTATTTCTGAGAGAGAGAGAGAGAGAGAGACAGTGCAAACAGGGGAGGGTCAGAGAGAGGGAGGCACAGAATCTGAAACAGGCTCCAGGCTCTGAGCTGGCAGTCAGCACAGAGCCCGACATGGGGCTCGAACCCACGAACCATGAGATCATGACCTGAGCTGAAGCCAGACGCTGAACCAACTGAGCCACCCAGGCGCCCCTTGTTTTCCCCCTCTTAAGACACTGCCTACTCAAGTAGACTAAATTACCCAAGGGCAGGGAGATCTATTTTATTTACTTTTGTGTATTTGGTCCAATTAAAAAAAATGTTTTTTAGTGTTTCTTTATTTTTGAGAGAGAGAGAGAGAGAGAGAGAGAGAGAGAGAGCATGAACAGAGAGAGGGAGACGCAGAATCCAAAGCAGGCTCCAGGCTCTGAACTGTTAGCACAGAGCCTGATGTGGGGCTTGAACCCACCAACTGTGAGATCATGACTTGAGCTGAAGTGAGATGCTTAATCAACTGAGCCACCTAGGCACCCCTATTTGGTCCATTTTTTTTTTTTATGGGCCTTGAGCATTTGTTAAATGAAAACTTCTCTCATCCAGAGACCTCTAATGTCCAGAGGGGTGTCTTTCTGTCTGATTTTTTTTTTTAAACAAATATCTAAAATCCATATATAGTAAAATTTGCTGTCTTTCATATGCTATTAGGAGTTTTGATATATAATCACAACTACAATCACAGTGCAGAAAAGTACCACCACTACAAAGACCCTCCCTTCTGCCCCTTTTTGGTCAGACCCTTCCCTAACCTGAACTTGTGGGAACCACTGATTTTTTCTCCAACACTAGTTGTACATTTTCCAGAATGCCATATGAATGGAATCATACACTATGTTGCCTTTTTTTTTTTGGTTGGTTGCTTTTACTTAGCATAATGCACTTGAAATTTGCTTGTTATGTACTTAGTTTTTTTTTTAATTGCTGAATATTCCATTGTAGGGATGTACCACAGTTATAACTATCTAGTCCTCAGTTGAGAAGAGATTTAAGTTCACAATTTTAGGCTACCGGAGCATCCATAAAGATGCATGTACAAGTTTTTGTATGAACATATGTTTCAGTATGTCTTGGGTGAATGCCTACAATAAGTTCGCTGGGCCAAAAGGTAGGTGTATATTTAACCTTGTAAGAAACCATAAAATTGTTTTTTGAGAGTGGCTGTAATGTCTCTGATTTCCATTAGCAATGTATGAGAACTCCAATTGTTCTGCGTCCTCATCTGTGTCCTTGGTATGGTCAGAAAATACAGACATTCTAATAGATGTGTGATGGTATCTCATTGTATGTTTTTTTGTTTTGTTTTTTTAGATTCCACGTGTATCTGAGATCATATGGTATTTGACCTACTCTAACTTCACTTAGCATAATGCTCTAAAGGACCCTCCTTCGTTCATTTTTGCAAATGGCAGGATCTTCTTTTAAATGGCTAAAAAATCTTTTGTTGTGTGTGTATACCACAGTGTCTTTATCTCTTTATTTGTCAATGGACATGTAGGTTGTTTCTGTATCTTGGCTACTGTGAAAAATACTGCACTGAACGTGTGAGTGCAGAAATCTCTTCGAGGTACTGAGTTCATCCAATTTGGGTTTATACCCAGAAGTGGGATTGTTGGACCACATGGTAGTTGTATTTTAATTTTCTGAGGAAGCTCTATGCTGTTTTCCATAGTGGTGGCACCAATTTACATTGATATCAACAGCATAGGAGAGACCTACCTCTTCTCCACACCTTGCCAATGCATGGTATCTTTTAGTTTTTGGATAATAGTTGTCTTAACAAGCATGAGGTGGTACCTCATGGTGCTTTTGGTTTGTGTTTCCCTGATGGGAGTGATGTTGAACATTTTCCCATGTGTGTTGGCTATCTGTATGTCTCCAGAAAAGTGTCTAGTCAGGTACTTTGCCCATTTTTAAATCGGATTGTTTTTTGGTGTTATGGG